TTGTTGTTGTTGTCGTCGTTGTCGTCGGTGTTATGGTAAAGGTAGAGATAAAGATGAAGATGAAGTTGGAACGACTGATGTGTTTTGTAAATAAAAATACCATAATTGTTTGTTTCAGTTTTAAACTTATAACGATTAATGACAATGACCCCCACATAAGCGTTAAGATTTTTTGCAGATATCTGTCTAAAATTAATGGGGTTTTCTTTTTAAGTTTTTTTTTTGTTTTGTTTTTTTTTTTTCTTCTCTTTTTGGTCAATATTTTTGAGGAATTAAATTTGAAATTCATTCATCTATCGGACAGTTGTAAACAGAATAACGGCAATAATAATTGAAGTAGTAGATGAAGAAGATTTGTTGGAAACAAATAAACAAAGGAGGACGATATATGTATGCAAATATACCAACAGACAAACACATCGAATTTTGTATCTGAGAATTGTTGTTTATCGATAGAAAGTGGAAAAAAAATTTTTTTTTCTGAAAAAGTACTTAACTGCACTCATCTGAGTTGTGTTGGGTACTGTTAGTTGACTTATGGAACAGACAATATTTTTATTTCTTTTTTTGAAATACTAACACCAAAACTGTTATTTTAATTGATGTTTTTTGTTTTTGTTCTTGTTTAAACCTGAAATCCTTTTAAAGTGATTTGTTTAGTTTTTATTTTTCTGTGTTTTACTCTCTTCTTTTTGCATCAAATTATCATCAGTAAAATTTTTGGGTCGCACAAAGTTAGTTACTTACTGTATTTAGAGTTGAGTTGCATTGAACAAAGTGTCAAAAAAACAAAAAAAAAAAAAATGTTTGAAATTTTAACAAGACAAGAAAAAAAAAATAGAATTAAGAAAAAATTTTTACGAGAAAAAATTGTTAAACTGAAAAAAAAAAAAGAAGTTTTTGTCTTTACTTTTTTTTTTTTTTTCTTTACTTCTGATCCTAATGAATATTGACAGACGTACGTGTATCAACGATGTATATTTATAATGTCAATTTGACGAGAACAACCAACAAATACAACTGCAAAATACAACAACATCACCACCACCACCACCACCAACAACAACGACAACAACAACGTTTCCGATAACTGATGATGAAGGTGAAAAGAAGCAAAAAAAAAAAAAACATCAATACATTTTCCTCATTTTCCAACAATAGTGGCAAAAAAAAAAAAAAAAAAAAATTTACAGCTAAAAACTTTTAGGGTTTTCTTTCTGTTTTTTTTTATCTTTTTTATTCTTCCTTCTTGTCTTACTGTATTTCTCGCTTTTATTTTATTACCATAACGACAACGACAATGACACCACTGTTACACTGATATACAGATAAAATTTTCCAAGTATCATTGTTCCCCGGATTACCCATTCCTCCACATTTCCATTCCGTAGGAAAAAAAATCTTGAAATTGAAAAAAAAA